CTCACTCTCTCACTCTCTCCACTCTCACTCTCACTCTCTCCCCACTCTCACTCTCTCTCACTCTCACTCTCACTCATCTCACTCTCACTCTCACTCTCACTCTCACTCTCACTCTCTCTCACTCTCACTCTCTCTCACTCTCACTCTCACTCTCACTCTCTCACTCTCTCACTCTCACTCTCACTCTCTCTCACTCTCACTCTCATACTCTCACTCTCTCACTCTCTCACTCTCACTCTCTCTCACTCTCACTCTCACCTCTCACTCTCTCACATCCCCTCACTCTCACTCTCACTCTCACTCTCACTCTCATTCTCACTCTCTCTCTCACTCTCTCACTCTCACTCTCACTCTCTCACAATTTAATATTATCCACATTATATCACTCTCATTTTGTATATACATCGAAATATATCCACGAATTATGTATCATAATTTCTATACTTAAAATGTATATACTTTTCCCTGCACTGTATCTATTATATACATTTATAATTTATATAATTACATATTTTCTTGGTATCATTATTTTCTGAAATAATTTATGGTATTTATATTAGTTACGTATAACTATTATATTCTTCAAATTCATCTATAACTATTATATATATTTTCTAGAAGTTATTATGTATATATTATGTATTAATTAGTATAATTTTTATAGTTTTTCTTAATGTTTATATGTATAATTATTATATTTATATTTTCGAGGTTAACTATTATATTTATATATTTTTGAAGTTAGTGTCTATAACTATTATATATTTTTTTAAGTTATGCATAATTATTACATATATATTTTAATTTAATATAACTATTACATATATTTTTTAAGTTTACATGTGTAACTATTATATATATTTCTTAAGTGTACATGTATAACTATTATATTTTTTAAGTTTACAAGTACAGTGGACCCCCGCTTAACGATCACCTCCCAATGCGACCAATTATGTAAGTGTATTTATGTAAGTGTGTTTGTACGTGTATGTTTGGGGGTCTGAAATGGACTAATCTACTTCACAATATTCCTTATGGGAATAAATTCGGTCAGTACTGGCACCTGAACATACTTATGGAGTGAAAAAATATCGTTAACCGGGGGTCCACTGTACATATAACTATATAGTACAGTGGACCCCCGGTTTACGATCACCTCCCAATGCGACCAATTATGTAAGTGTATTTATGTAGGTGCGTTTGTACGTGTATGTTTGGGGGTCAATGCCCCTGCGGCCCGGTCCACAACTAGGCCTCATGGTGGATCAGGACCTGTGTTGTGGTACGTACTGTAAGTCCTTAATTTACAAATACAGTGGACCCCCGGTTAACGATATTTTTTCACTCCATAAGTATGTTCAGGTGCCAGTACTGACCGAATTTATTCCCATAAGGAATATTGTGAAGTAGATTAGTCCATTTCAGACCCCCAAACATACACGTACAAACGCACTTACATAAATACACTTACATAATTGGTCGCATTCGGAGGTAATCGTTATGCGGGGGTCCACTGTACGTTAAGAATCTTCCGTACTGTGTATATCATTATTATATCATTGTGTACAATATTATTATTATACACAATTCAGAAGGTCAACAATGTGTTTGTAAATCGAGGATTTACAGTACAGTGGACCCCCGCTTTACGATCACCTCCCAATGCGACCAATTATGTAAGTGTATTTATGTAAGTGCGTTTGTACGTGTATGTTTGGGGGTCTGAAATGGACTAATCTACTTCACAATATTCCTTATGGGAACAAATTCGTTCAGTAATGGCACCTGAACATACTTCTGGAGTGAAAAAATATCGTTAACCGGGGGTCCACTGTATATATTTTTTTAAGTTTACATGTATAACTATTATATATATTTTTAAGTTTATATATACAGTGGACCCCCGGTTAACGATATTTTTTCACTCCATAAGTATGTTCAGGTGCCAGTACTGACCGAATTTGTTCCCATAAGGAATATTGTGAAGTAGATTAGTCCATTTCAGACCCCCAAACATACACGTACAAACGCACCTACATAAATACACTAACATAATTGGTCGCATTCGGAGGTAATCGTTATGCGGGGGTCCACTGTATAACTATTACATTTTTTTAAGTTTACATGTACAACTATTATATATATTTCTGTTATTACTACAGTTGCTGCCGCAGCTTCTCAAGATTGTCTCTAAATATCTCTTCTATATTTATATGTTTCATATCATTAAATCTATGTAATATATCCTTGTTTTTATTCTTTCTTATCTTGCTTCAAAAATTCCTTAAAATTACATATTAGTATTATCATTAACAAATTATTATAATCAAAAGCGAAGCGCTAAACCACAAGGGCCATACACCGCTGCTATTATTAACAAAACTGAGCCCTAATCCAACTAAAATTCCATGGAAATGAGAATTTGGGAGCAAAAATGCATAGATTTGTGGGGATTTTAGTCAGAATTTCCATTGCTGGAATAATTCTCAGCTAATCCATGAGATTTATAGAGAATTTGGGGAATTTTCGGTCTTAATAAATTTGGGGATTTCACGGGAGGTAGTGAAAGAAGTCAGATCAGTCCCTGGACCCATTATGTGGCTCTGGAATGTTGAGGTACAGTCCCTGGACCCATTATGTTAAGGTACAGTCCCTGGAGCCATCATGTGCCTCATAATGGGTTCCTGGACCCATTATGTGCCTCTGTACTACATAAACAGTACAAAAAGTACAGTGGACCCCCGCTTAACGATCATCTCCAAATGCGACCAATTATGTAAGTGTATTTATGTAAGTGTGTTTGTACGTGTATGTTTGGGGGTCTGAAATGGACTAATCTACTTCACAATATTCCTTATGGGAAAAAATTCGGTCAGTACTGGCACCTGAACATACTACTGGAATGAAAAAAGTTCGTTAACCGGGGGTCCACTGTACTACAAAAACATTAAATCCACAAACGGATGGTGTGATGACACAACGGTCAAAGAAAAGTTTATCTGTGGAGAGAAATAACGGAATCTACCAGAGTATAGAGGAGCAAACATTTTTATATAGGTGTGAGGCATGGGATTTACACATTGCAGCCAGGAGGATAGAGGCAGCGAAGATGTCATCTCTGAGAACAACGTTTGGTGTGGATATTATGCAGAGAATTTGGGGCGTTTAACTTAATAGGTCACCGAGGGTTTAATTTGGAGCTAAAGAATTGTTGCTGAGGTAGCTGAGGTATGTAGAGGATATTACAATCATAACTAAGAGCACTAAACTCACTAGGGTCATGTGGCACTGGTGTAGAGGATAGAGATGGATGGCATGATGAAGATAGTTAAATTTGGGATGGAAGGTAGAGGCAGGGATCATCTCAGAAATAGTTGGATGGGGTAAAGGGGGTTTTGAGTCTCAGGGGCTTGAGCACCCAGCAGGCTTGAGTGAGCATAGTAAGACAGGAGTAGGTGGAGATCAGCGACTTTTAGTGCTGTCGGAGTGTCAGCAAGGCACTGCAATAATCATTCAATAATTATTATTATAAGTAAGTGCTTAACCCACAAGGTTCACACAACGCTGAATAATTACTGAAAACAGCCAAGTTGTGGAAGTGGGAAGTGCAGCACCTGCACTCTGAAGGTCTGGTGATGCTGCAGTCGATGTAATCTTGTTGTAGCGTCAACACACTCCCCACAAGACATCGACTGGGTGAATACAATATCCCCCCCCCCAAGATATCCACAGGGGGATACCTTTCAAGACCTACCATGGATACCTAACACACTGGATAGTAGTCAACCCTATAAGTCATTTTTCCTTTACATACCTATTATAAAGTTTAACTGATAATTTAAGCAAAATACAGTAGAACCTTGGTAAGCAAGTTTAATTCATTCCAGAAGGCTGTTCGAGTGCCACTCTGTTTGAGTATCGAACAAGTTTTTCCCAACCAATTTTCTAGATGAATGGTTCAGAGAACCGACATGTTGATAAATTAGACACATGTGCAACTCTTGGGTATCTTTATTGAAGAAACGTTTCGCCACACAGTGGCTTCATCAGTCCAAACGCAGGAGAAACTTGAAGAACAGGAGGAGAATGAGGTAATCAGTCCCTCAACCTTCAGTCGATGTGTTCAGTCCATCAATCTTGAATAGAATACGGCATATCAGCGGAGAAGCAGCTTATAAACCGTATGGCAGGAGAGGTGCAGCAGTCATATGACTGCTGCACCTCTCCTGCCATACGGTTTATAAGCTGCTAATTTATCAACCAATTTTCTGTTTGGTTGGCTGTTACAACTAATCGTCGTAGGCCTCATGGTGACTTATTTATACAAATACAAAAAAAACACCAAAAAATGTGAAGAAACACATAATAGTTTACAGAGAAGTTCTGGCAGGTCCTACACGTTTGGTCAAGTAGGGAGCTGGTTGCATACCAAGGTTCCACTGTAAGTGGAGAATTATCACTTTTTCCACAGCTTCTCTTAGGCTTTAAGCAACTGTACCATCACTACTTTTGTGGTCTGGGACCATTATTAAGCAAAATTAAGGCTTATTTTTAGGCCTCGGTAAACCATGGATACAGAATCTATGGATACAAGGGTTCCACTGGACCTGTGGATGTGTTCCACTGGACCTGTGGATGTGTTCCACTGGACCTGTGGATGTGTTCCACTGGACCTGTGGATGTGTTCCACTGGACCTGTGGATGTGTTCCACTGGACTTGTGGATGTGTTCCACTGGACCTGTGGATGTGTTCCACTGGACCTGTGGATGTGTTCCACTGGACCTGTGGATGTGTTCCACTGGACCTGTGGATGTGTTCCACTGGACCTGTGGATGTGTTCCACTGGACCTGTGGATGTGTTCCACTGGACCTGTGGATGTGTTCCACTGGACCTGTGGATGTGTTCCACTGGACCTGTGGATATGTTCCAGTGGGAGTCATCCTCCTCTGGTGGCAGATCACCACTGTTAAGAAAATACAGGACAAATACACGCACATACATATTACTTTGGTAAATCTATATTATATACGCTAAATAAGATAGAAATACAACTATAGCTGTCTTATTCTATGTGATGTTAGGAATAATACACCTTAATGCATCTTGATACAACTTGATACAACTTGAAAATGAGAAATACAAGAGTGGAACCTCAGTGGAATTAAATCCTCGAGAGGAAGTAGGGATTTATTCTATATTATCATTAAAATATATCTTATAATGGTATAATACCTTAGAGTGATGCTAACTTAAATGGATAATACCTTAGAATGATGCTAACTTAAATGGATAATACCTTAGAATGATGCTAACTTAAATGGATAATACCTTAGAATGATGCTAACTTAAATGGATAATACCTTAGAATGATGCTAACTTAAATGGATAATACATTAAAGTGATGCTAACTTAAATGGATAATACCTTAGAATCATGCTAACTTAAATGGATAATACCTTAGAATGATGCTAACTTAAATGGATAATACCTTAGAATGATGCTAACTTAAATGGATAATACATTAAAGTGATGCTAACTTAAATGGATAATACCTTAGAATCATGCTAACTTAAATGGATAATACCTTAGAATGATGCTAACTTAAATGGATAAATAAATCATGTGTGCTAGCTCTTTTCAAGTTAACTGTATCGTGAGATTGATGTGAATACACTGGTGGAGCACACGAACCTTGCCATGTAAGCCCAGATGACAGCACCAAGCCTAACCTGCCTCTGACGGAAGGAATATTAACATCTACTAAGATCTACATCATCTACTAAGACTGATACAGTCCCGGGTACCGGAAATATTGGAGGTTAATCAGAACTTGACTCTGGGTGCCCAAAAGTGTTTTCACACATACCTTACGAGTACTAGAGGTCAGCAAATAAATGTACAACTCTTTTTTAAGATCGATGCAGCAAGGAAAAATAACAAACTGGTCCTTGGGGCAGAGAACGGGGACAACTAAAGCAATTTTGCCACCTGCGGCCAACTGCGACAACAATACATCATGGCCGAGGTTTTCCCATAGCGCTAGAATTTCTACGATTCAGATTAGCTCCTAACATATACATAGCTAAAACACAGAAATACCCATATTAACGAAAGAAATAGAAATTAGGAACAAAAAAGGCACAATACCGTGAATGGAACAATACATAAATAACCTGCACATAAGAGAAACTCATAATGAAATTTCAATACACCTTAAACCATTGACCAATCGTGCACTAACACACGAAGGTAAGGGAGCCGGTATGTAAACTGGCTCCCTTACCTTCCTGTGTTAGTGTGTGACTAGTTAATGGTCCAAATCGGACCAAAACGTCACAAGTTTCTTCTATATACAGTGGTACCCCGAGTTTCGTACAGTTCCCAACTCGAACAATTACGTAGGTGTATTATTGTAAGTGTATTTTTGGGGGTCTGAAACGGTCTAATCTAATTTACATTATTCCTTATGGGAACAAATTTGTTTGATAACGGCACTCGAACGGCCTTCTGGAACGAATTATGGCCGAAACTCGGGGTACCACTGTACAAGTTATTTGTGTATAAATAGAAATAAGATTAACCACTATATGCACTATAGAAAGATATGTCTATCTTACTATCTATTACTTCACATAGCGAAATAATTTTACAATGATCAAAAATGACTATTGTATTACCAAAGACAAAAGGAATATCATGTCAGGCAGCCTCTTCAGTGGAAATAATACATCCCTTCGCTGAAATATTACCCAGACAAAGCTCTCGACGCGTCTGCAAGGAAAACAAACGTAAAACTGATGTCCCAATGCGTTATAATTTTTCGGTCGCATGTGTCTTGCTACAGAACAAATGCCGGGAACTTCGCCTCATCGGGATTGGTCAGGTCGACCAGGAAATGTATGTTGCCGGCCAAACCCTCAAACAGCGAGAGCGGCCGGTCGGGAGTGCGACAACCATGCTGGCCGTAGTCCTGGCACCAATTGCCAAACTGTGCAGCCCTGTACAAATATGTGGCTTCCTTCGTCACCTGTGAAAGTAGAATAATGTTGGCGTTATTGCAATTTCTACAATAATATACGTATTTTTAAATGCAATAAGATCACAGTAAACAAGTGACTTCAGAATATGCAAAACAGCCACTGTGAAAGAATAGAGAAATTCCAAGCGCTTTCATGACTACTCACATTATCAAGGAACAATGAAAGTAATGCATCAAAGGAAGGCATATAAAGGGTCTAGACCACACCTCACTATCACATCCCACAACAAAGCAACACCTGACGTGCGACTCATAAGAAAGGAAACACTGCAGCAGGCCCGCTGGCCCAACTAGACAGGTCCTTCACACAACCCACCAACAAACTATTCTACCCAAGAATTAAGAATTTTAAAATTTATTATTTGTCCAATGTATTATTAAATTCTTCCCAAATTCTATTAATTATAAATGGATCTAATTTATATAAACCAAAGGAAATATTCATATTATTGTCAAAACTGCTTTTTATGAAACAAGATTCAATTATATTCCTGTCGACCATGGACTTGCTTGATACAACTTTCTCAACTTTTTGAAAATCAATTGGATGGTTATAATCTCTCACATGAATAAATAGAACATTGGAATCTTGTCTAGTTCTAATGCTATATTTATGTTGTTTTAATCTTAGTTCGAGATTTTTACCAGTTTGACCGTAATAAACTTTATCACAAATTTTACAAGGAATCTTAAGGACACATCCATCAGCATTTTGGGGGGAATTCTTTATCAAAAGTTTTTTTACTGTATCAAGATTTTTAAATACAACTTTGATATTGTAGTCCAGAGTTCATAGATGAGGAAATATCCAAAATTTATGAAATAGATAATGATTTGAAATACCCAAGAAACGTAATTGATAAATCTTTTAAAATTGCTAGAAATACTTTTTACAAACCAAAAAGGGACAACCAGCCTTATTTAACTAAAAATATGTTGGTTCTCCCTTACCATCAAAACTTGGTTGATATGCCTTCTCTTCTTAAGACTTTTAATATAAAAGTTGTATTTAAAAATCTTGATACAGTAAAAAAAACTTGATAAAGAATTCCCCCCAAAATGCTGATGGATGTGTCTATAAGATTCCTTGTAAAATTTGCGATAAAGTTTATTACGGTCAAACTGGTAAAAATCTCGAACTAAGATTAAAACAACATAAATATAGCATTAGAACTGGACAAGATTCCAATTGACCCTTATATTGACTCTTTCAGTGCCCGTCATGTAGAACTACATCACTGACATCAGGGTCCCTCAGGTAGTTCTATGTCATGATTTTGAACTCATATAACTGAGTTCAAAATCAAATTCAAATTCTTATTTCTTTGCATAACATACGATGTGAGATTTGTGTTATAAAATACAGTGGACCCCCGGTTAACGATATTTTTTCACTCCAGAAGTATGTTCAGGTGCCAGTACTGACCGAATTTGTTCCCATAAGGAATATTGTGAAGTAGATTAGTCCATTTCAGACCCGCAAACATACACGTACAAACGCACTTACATAAATACACTAACATAATTGGTCGCATTGGGAGGTGATCGTTATGCGGGGGTCCACTGTACTGTTAAGTACAAAGACAGTCACTGGCACGCCTGAGTGGTAAATTTTGGCGTAGATATGAGCGAGTAGGTATGTGTGCAGTGAGTGTACACAGTACCAAAAAAATCCGGCCCCATGTCATACATGATACCTTTGATATGGCTTTAACCCTTCAATTGTCCAAACGTAGATCTACGTTTATGCGCATAGCGCTCCGACCTTGATTTTCTCCATTTGAAAGCATGTAAAACAATACGTAGATCTACGTTCGGAGCGCTACGCAAGAAAATGTAGATCTATGTTTGGACAGTTTAGGGGTTAATGAGTTTCAAGAGCGTTACTACTCCCAGAGCCCAGCCGTTGACCAAGCTTGTCTGGTGCTAGCCTGGTCGATCAGGCAGTTGCTTCTAGAGGCCTGTTGCCCAACATATCCATCACAGCCTGGTTGACCTGGCACCTTGTCCAGCTTTCTCTTGAAGACTTCTACACTTGTTTCTGCTGTGTTTCTGATATCTTCTGGTAAGATGCTGAATAATCCGGGGCCACAAATGTTAATGGGAAAAACAAAACTCCAACCATGTAAAATTCCAAGAATTTCACTATTTTTTCACTGTGCTTCTTTGGCACATTAAGATATCACCTAAACCCTACCACGGGCGGGGTTAGAACCCGCGATCAGAAGGTCATAAAACTCCAGACCGATATGTTAGCCACTGGGCCAGCTAGCCACAATATGATTCAATGTAGCCGCAGCTGGCCCAGTGGCTAACACACCGGTCTGGAGTTTAATGACTCTCTGATCGCTGGTTCTAACCCTGCCCGTGGTATGATTTGTTTGCAATTGTGTCATTACGATTTCGTGAGTCAAGTTAAGATATCACCTGTTTCATGCGATCCTACTCCTCCGTCGTGGGTATTTAAAAAATCCAGACTTGCAATGCGGAGTCAGGTACCAATCGTTTTGTGACTAACATTTCATGATGTGTAAACTACATTACCAATATATTGCAGAAAATAAATAAATTATTTGTATTTGTACAGGTGCTCCTCGACTTACGATATTTGGACTTTACAATGGTGCAAAAGTAATTACTTTGGAGATGGAACTTGAAGTAATTACTTTGGAGATGGAACTTAAAGTAATTACTTTGGAGATGGAACTTAAAGTAATTACTTTGGAGATGGAACTTGAAGTAATTACTTTGGAGATGGAACTTGAAGTAATTACTTTGGAGATGGAACTTGAAGTAATTACTTTGGAGATGGAACTTGAAGTAATTACTTTGGAGATGGAACTTGAAGTAATTACTTTGGAGATGGAACTTGAAGTAATTACTTTGGAGATGGAACTTGAAGTAATTACTTTGGAGATGGAACTTGAAGTAATTACTTTGGAGATGGAACTTAAAGTAATTACTTTGGAGATGGAACTTGAAGTAATTACTTTGGAGATGGAACTTGAAGTAATTACTTTGGAGATGGAACTTGAAGTAATTACTTTGGAGATGGAACTTGAAGTAATTACTTTGGAGATGGAACTTGAAGTAACTACTTTGGAGATGGAACTTGAAGTAATTACCCAGCAAGAAGACAACAAGTTCCTAACTTGTGTTCATTTACTAACTTTTCAATACTGGTACAGTGGTACCCCAAGTTTTGTACAGCTCCCAACTTGAACAATTATGTAAGTGTATTATTGTAAGTGTTTTTGTGAGTGTAATTTTGGAGGTCTGAAATGGACTAATCAAATTTACATTATTCCTTATGGGAACAAATTCATTCGGTAACGGCACTTGAACAGCCGTCTGGAATGAATTATGGCCGAAACTCGGGGCACCACTGTACAGTGGACCCCCGGTTAACGATATTTTTTCATTCCAGTAGTATGTTCAGGTGCCAGTACTGACCGAATTTGTTCCCATAAGGAATATTGTGAATTAGATTAGTCCATTTCAGACCCCCAAACATACACGTACAAACGCACTTACATAAATACACTTACATAATTAGTCGCATTGGGAGGTGATCGTTATGCGGGGGTCCACTGTATTTAGTTACAGTAATTATTTGTTTATTTACCTATTCAGTGACAGTAGTTATTTATCAGATCACAGTCATGTGCAATAATAACCCATATGGAGACATGAACTCTTTAGCAAAAGAGGATCTCAGAATACTTTAGTTATCCATCATATTCATATCCAACTTACGATATTTTCAACTTACGATGGGTTCGTCGGACCATAACCCCATCGTAAGTCGAGGACCACCTGCATAGAGAAATCAGATTAACTATATAACACTCATATAGTCTTACCTGATAGAGATAGAGCAATGCATAACCATTGCCTGCTGAGCCGTGACAGAGACCATAACCCTTCTTCAACAAGCCGCGCTCCCACACGCACTCCCCACTTTTCTTGGCGTGCTCCAGATAACTTGTATTTCCAAACACCTGAGAAACCAAAACGTAGTTTTGAACTTTATAGCACTGAGGTGTCTAAAATGCTGGCAGCAAGGTGCTAGTAACACCTTCTCTTATGACAAGCATGGCTTATGAAGGAAGGATTCTTCTCCACTGCCCAATGGATGTAATACCGCTGCTCCTCGCTTTACGATGGTTCGGCTTACGATAATTGAACTTTATGATGGTGCAACAGTGATGCACATTCAGTAGTTATCAAACTTTTTTGGTACTGTACAATACTGTACAATACTGTACAATACTGTACATTTATTGACAGGATAAACTTACAGTCATTTATTTCCTTTTCAATACTGGTATTCAGTGACTGTAGTTAGTTATTTACTTATTTATTTATCATACATTCATATTCGACTTATGATATTGTCAACTTATGATGAGTTCGTTGGAACTTAACCCCATCATAAGTCGAGGGGCACCTATACTGCATTATTACCTGGTAGGCTTTAGCAAAAAGGAATACGGCTCCAGGGGCCCCGTGACACCAATGTACGAGGCGGTCGGTTGGATTGCCAATTGATGAAGGCAAGTTGCCAGAGCTGAACTGCAAGTTGCACAAGTAGTCGATTGTTGGCTGAATCATCTCCGTCAATTCTTTTGAAGTGAGATGCTCCTTTACCTACGGGAAATTTAAATTTTAATAATACCAGCAAACTGTAATCAAAATCAGGTTGAGTATTACATTAGAAGATGGGTGGAAGAATTTAACGTACAGTAGTCCCCTGGTATCAACAGAGGATACGTTCCAAGACTACTTTTGCACTTTGGGTTCATTATTAAACAAAATTAGGGTTTATTTTCGGGTCAAAGTAAACCACGGATAACTGAAACTGCGGATACAGGGGCTCTACTGTATTTAGATATGTGGGAGTAAATCACCGAGTGGATGTGGAGGAAATGGATACATTTAGATATCTGGGAGAGAACCACTGAACGGATGGGGAGGAAATGGATGTATTCAGATATCTGGGAGTGAAATACTGAACGGATAAGGTTTAAACTCATGGCAAATGAGTCTTGAAACTCAGAGGCCAGTGTGTGAATCTGGGAGTGGACATGTCAGCAGATGGGTCTGTGAAAGACAACGCAAAACCATAGAAACCATAGAACAGATGAGGGGGAAAAGGTGGGCGGTGTGCTGAGGCATCTGCGGAAAGAATAACATTTACCTATGAAGTCCAAAAAAATTAATGTACCAGTGTACATTGGTACCAATGTACCAGTGTACAGTGGTACCAGTGGTACCATTGTACAGTGGTACCAGTGGTACGAATGCTCTTATGTGGGTGTCAAGTGAGGAGGAGGTAAGTCTCCTTACTTATCAGTAGAGTAATTGACGGCAAGTTCGTTTATCACTAGAGTGACTGATGGCAAATTCATTTATCAGTAAACTGAAGGCAAGTCCGTTTGTCAGTACAGTAAGTGGCGGCAAGTCTGTTTATCAGTAAGTGGTGGCAAGTCTTTTAATCAGTAAGTGGCAGCAAGTCTGTTCATTAGTAAGTGGAGGCAAGTCTGTTTATCAGTAAGTGGTGGCAAGTCTGTTTATCAGTAAGTGGAGGCAAGTCTGTTTATCAGTAAGTGGCGGCAAGTCTGTTTATCAGTAAGTGGTGGCAAGTCTGTTTATCAGTAAGTGGCGGCAAGTCTGTTTATTAGTAAGTGGAGGCAAGTCTGTTTATCAGTAAGTGGCGGCAAGTTTGTTTATCAGTAAGTGGCGGCAAGTCTGTTTATCAGTAAGTGGCGGCAAGTCTGTTTATCAGTAAGTGGCGGCAAGTCTGTTTATCAGTAAGTGACGGCAAGTTCGGTAAGTGATGGCAAGTCTGTTTATCAGTAAGTGGCGGCAATGTCTGTTTATCGGTAAGTGATGGCAAGTCATTTACAGATACATGATGGTGGACGATACTGAAAAACTGAAGACAGAACATTAGAAAAAACTCTATTTACCTGACTAATAATAGGGAGGGGGAGGGAAGAGCACCCAGTAATGCAAATTATCATTAAAACAATGTTAAACCATAGCAAAAACAAATACAATACTAGAGAACTCTACTGTATATAAAATACAGTAATATACATACACTTTACAGATATACTGTAATAAGCATCACAACCACTGTGAAAAGCAGAATTTATTTATTTATTTATTTATTTCCAATTTGTGCACACATACAGAGGTACAAAAAAATACAGATAAGAGCAGTATGCCAAAGCCACTTATACTATGCATAGCATTACGGGCTGGCTTAAAATTAACTTAAGATTAACTAAGCAATGATTATTATTATTATTATAATCAAAAAGAAGCGCTAAGCCACAAGGACTATACAGCGCTGCTACTAAGCAATGATGAAATCAGTGATAAAACATTAATGTAAACAGATAACTATAAAGCACAAGTGAGTATTACAAAGACAGGTCATATGGTTGCATTCAGTTAGGTAGTGATTCTGTTAGGTAGTGTATTTAAAAAATAATAAAGTTAGATTGGGTTTTAGGTTTAACATTTATGTGATATAATTGTGAGAAACATTTAAGATATACAATTTATAAGGTTCAGTTATTCAGTATTTATTTGGTTTTGGGTGAGTAAGTGATCTTTGAGTAGAGACTTGAATTTATAAACAGGTAGTGTTTCTTTTATATTTACAGGTAATGAATTCCAGATTTTAGGGCCTTTTATGTGCATTGAGTTTTTGCATAGTGTGAGATGGACACGAGGAACATCAAAGAGTGATCTGTGCCTTGTGTTATGGTCATGTGTTCTGTTGAGGTTGGCAAGGAGATTATTCCAAGTGTGTTAGCGATTTCTCATATTATAGGTTGAGAACTCAATGAAGTGCTTGAAATAATAATAATAATAATAATAATAATAATAATAATAATAATAATTATAATAATAATAATAATAATAATAATAATAATACCACCACCACCATTCAATGTGGTTATATTGCTTGTTAAGATATCATCTGTTTCTTGCGCTCTTACTGCACAAAGTAATATTCATCGAAAATGGAAGTAATCGTAATAAACATGATTGCAAATGTATAAATATACCAGAGTGAAACTCCATGGGGAAGTGGAACGGAATTCTTCTTGCATAAGGCGTGTGTTGTATGAAGCAACTAACATGCCGGTAGCAAGGTAACCCCTTCTCTTGTATGCATTACTAAATTTAAAAAGAGCAACTTTCGCTTTTCTTTTTGGGTCACCTTGCCTCGGTGGGATATGGTCAGTTTGTTAAAAGAAGATTGTTATATATATACCTGAAAATAGAGTAAAAAACGTAAAATTACAGAGATTTTATTTACCTTTAGTGGCGGATAGATGAATTTTTTTGTTGTGATCATGACAACAACGGACAATTCTGTAACTGACGGACTTCGTCCATCATTTCCAAAATCAATTTACCCCAGCGGACTTTGTCTGTTATTTCCAAAAACCCGTTAAATCAAGGTTTTACTGTGTCTTCTGTAATCAAGAACAAGTTTCAGCAACTGTAATGGTACATAAGAAATTCAACGGAGTGTATCCGCAAGAAGTACGACAAGCCTTCCTCATCAATTAACCCTTAAACTGTCCAAACGTAGATCTACGTTCATGTGCGTAGCACTCCAAATGTAGATTTACGTTTTTTTAACATTTAAAAGCATGTAAAAAAAAAAACGAAGATCTACGATTCGAGCCCTACGCGTGTGAACGTAGATCTACGTTTGGACAGTTTCAGGGTTAAACTTGATAAAAACTATATAGCATGAACTCAGAGAAAAGCTATATAGCATGAACTCAGAGAATATTCATTTCTCTAGTATTCATTGTAACTCCTAAATTTATACTTACACTCACCCAAGTGAGTGTATGTATAAAATTACTCACATTGTTACTGCATTATTACTCTTTTGTAAGTCTTAAATTTGCCCAAAATACTTTACATATATAGAGGCTTTCTGCATGTGTGCCTAAATGTTATTCTCCTTTATATAAACATTGTATCGTGTTTAAATAAAGTATTATTATTATTATTATTATTATTAATATCATTATTATTATTATTATTATTATTATCTCAAAATTCCTTCGGTTCAAAAAATATTTCATTGTTTAGTTAATATATTTTTATTATATGTAATTTTTTGCATTTTTATTCATCTCGGTGAATGTTTATCTGGTGAAGGGACTACCAGAGGTGATTATGATTATATTCCTGGGTTGGTAGCGCACTTAGCTCACACACACTGGGGTCCGTGGTTCAATCCCCGGTATGGGTGGAGACATTAGGACGTGTTCCCTTAGCACACCTGCTGTCACTGTTCACCTAGCAGTAAAATAGGTACCTGGGTGTTAGTGGACTGATGTGGGTAGCATCCTGGGACAAAAGTGACCTAATTTGCCAGAAATGCTGTGCATAACAAGGGGCTTTCAATATAGTAGTCCCCCCTCCCCGTATCCACTGGATACATTCCAAGACCTACTATGGATAACCAAAACTGCAGATAGTAGTGAACCCAATATACAGTGGACCCCTGGTTTACGATATTATTTCATTCCAGAAGTATGTTCAGGTGCCAGTACTGACCGAATTTGTTCCCATAAAGAATGTTGTGAATTAGATTAGTCCATTTCAGACCCCCAAACATACACATACAAATGCACTTACGTAAATACACTTACATAATTGGTCGCACTGGGAGCTGATCGCCAACCGGGGGTCCACTGTACTCACGCAAGTCATTTACATTAGGTAGTAGGTTGGTAGACAGCAACCGCCCAGGGAGGTACTACCATCCTGCCAAGTGAGTGTAAAACGAAAGCCTGTAATTGTTTTACATGATGGTAGGATTGCTGGTGTCCTTTTTTTCTGTCTCATAAACATGCAAGATTTCAGGTACATCTTGCTACTTCTACTTACACTTAGGTCACACTACATATACATGTACAAGCATATATATACACACCCCTCTGGGTTTTCTTCTATTTTCTTTCTAGTTTTTGTTCTTGTTTATTTCCTCTTATCTCCATGGGAAAGTGGAACAGAATTCTTCCTCCGTAAGCCATAGGTTTTGTAAGAGGCGACTAAAATGCTGGGAGCAAGGGACTAGTAACCCCTTCTCTCGTATAAATTACTAAATTTAAAAAGAGAAACTTTCGTTTTTCTTTTTGGGCCACCCTGCCTTGGTGGGATACGGCCGGTTTGTTGAGAAAAAAAAAAAAAGTCATTTACATACATACCTATGATGAATATTAATTGATAATTGATAACTGACGATTAATTGATAAATTACTCACAATAAGCGGAGAATTAACACCTTTTCACCGATGGGAAACACTTCACGGCTTCTCTTAGGCTTGAAGAACTGCGACCATCACTAATTTTGTACTATAGGATCATTATTAACCCTGAAACTGTCCAAACGTAGATCTACATTCACGTGCATAGCGCTCCGACCTTGATTTTCCCCATTTGAAAGCATGTAAAAAAAACGTAGATCAACGTTCGGAGCCTGCCGCATGTCAACGTATATCTACATTTGGACAGTTTAAGGGTTAAACAAAATTAAGGCTTAACTTCAGGCCATGGTAAACTGAAGATAACCAAAACCGCGGAAACCATACCCGCAGATATGGGGGTTCAACTGTATAGTAGTATGTCACTGATGTCAGCTAAGCCCATATACAGTGGACCCCCGCATAACGATATTAATCCGTTCATGAGAGCTCATTGTTATGCGAAATTATCGTTATGCGAATGAATTTTCTCCATAAGAAATAATGGAAATAAAATTAATCCGTGCAAGACACCCCAAAGTATGAAAAAAAAACATTTTTACCACATGAAATATTAATTTTAATACACACAAACTGAAAAAGGCATGCACAGTTACATGACACTTACCTTTATTGAAGATCTGGTGATGATTGATGGGATGGGAGGAGGAGAGAGTCTTAATGTTTAGAAGGGGAATCCCCTTCCATTAAAACTTGAGGTGTCAAGTCCTTTTCTGGGGTTACTTCCCTTCTTCTTTTAATGCCACTAGGACCAGCTTCAGAGTCACTGGACTTCTGTCGCACAACATATCTGTCCATAGTGGCCTGTACCTCTCGTTCCTTTATGACTTCCCTAAAGTGTTTCACAACATTGTCAGTATAATAGTCACCAGCACGGCTTGCAATAGCTGTGTGAGGGTGATTTTCATCCATAAAGGTTTGCACTTTCAGCCACATTGCACAGATTTCCTTAATCTTTGTAGTAGGCAACTTCTTCAATTTCTCTCTCCCCTCCTCCGAACCAGTTTCCTCAGGTCTGGCCTCTTGCTGTTGAAGTTGATCTATCAGCTCATCAGTGGTTAGTTCTTCATTGTCCTCCTCCACCAACTCTTCCACATCATCCCCACTAACCTCCAACCCCAAGGACTTCCCCAGTGCCACAATGGATTCCTCAACTGGCATACTCCTCTCAGGGTTAGCCTGAAACCCTTCAAAATCCCTTTGGTCTACACATTCTGGCCACAGTTTCTTCCAAGCAGAGTTCAAGGTCTTCTTAGTCACTTCCTCCCAAGCCTTACCTATAAGGTTTACACAATTGAGGATATTAAAGTGATCTCTCCAAAACTCTCTTAGAGTCAGTTGAGTTTCTGAGGTCACTACAAAGCACCTTTCAAACAGAGCTTTTGTGTACAGTTTTTTGAAGTTTGCAATAACCTGCTGGTCCATGGGCTGCAGGAGAGGAGTGGTATTAGGAGGCAAAAACTTCACCTTAATGAAGCTCATGTCCCCATAAAGTTGCTCTGCCACGTCTGTAGGATGACCAGGGGCATTGTCTAACACCAGGAGGCACTTAAGGCCTAATTTCTTTTCAGTTAGGTAATCTTTCACATTGGGGGCAAATGCATGGTGTAACCAGTCATAGAAAAAGTCCCTAGTGACCCATGCCTTACTGTTTGCCCTCCACATCACACACAAATTAGCCTTAAGGATATTCTTTTGCCTGAACGCTCTGGGAGTTTCAGAGTGATACACCAATAAAGGCTTCACTTTGCAATCACCACTAGCATTAGCACACATCAAGAGAGTAAGCCTGTCTTTCATAGGCTCATGTCCTGGGAGTGCCTTTTCCTCCTCAGTAATGTAGGTCCTGCTTGGCATTTTCTTCCAAAACAGGCCTGTTTCATCACAATTAAACACTTGTTCAGGTTTCAGTCCTTCACTGTCTATGTACTCCTTGAATTCCTGCACATATTTTTCAGCTGCTTTGTGGTCCGAACTGGCAGCCTCACCATGCCTTATCACACTATGTATGCCACTACGCTTCTTAAATCTCTCAAACCAACCTTTGCTGGCCTTAAATTCACTCACATCATCACTAGTTGCAGGCATTTTTTTAATTAAATCCTCATGCAACTTCCTAGCCTTTTCACTTATGATCACTTGAGAGATGCTATCTCCTGCTATCTGTTTTTCATTTATCCACACCAATAAGAGTCTCTCAACATCTTCCATCACTTGCGATCTCTGTTTCGAAAACACAGTTGAACCATTGGCAAGAACAGCTTCCTTGATTGCCTTTTTGTTGCCCACAATAGTAGCGATGGTTGACTGGGTTTATTATACAACCTGGCCAGCTCGGAGACACGCACTCCACTTTCATACTTATCAATGATCTCTTTCTTCATCTCTATAGTAATTCTCACCCTTATTCCTGTAGGGTTGGCACTAGAAGCTTTCTTGGGGCCCATGGTCACTTATTTTGCAGATAAAATCACCAAAAACACTGTAATAATACGAAATGTTCCGATTGTATGCTTGGATGTTACCGCGGAGGCTGGCTGGTAAACAATGCCACCGGCGGAACATGTGAGGCTGGCTAAGGCCGCACATTAGACGCATCTCGGACGAACAGCGTTGAGCGGGTTTTTTAGCGGTATGCGAGGCAAAATCTTAGCGATAAAATGTATCGGTATGCGGATTTAACGTTATGTAAGGCCAACGGTATGCGGGGGGTCCACTGTACCTTGTACATGTAGAAATAAAAGATTATTATTATTATTATTATTATTATTATTATTATTATTATTATATTATTACCTGTAAAAGCATGAAGAGTATGCCAATAAGGCCGTGGGCGGCTCCGAGATAGCGCTTCTCATGCCACTGGTACATGAGAGGCGCCGAGCACTTCAACTTGCGTGAAAGCGCACGTCCTGAGTCTAGCATTGCCGTCACCACCGAGCGAATCAATTTATCATCAACTGCATCTTTGCCAATCTGAGTAATTATGAAAGGAAGATATGGATATTATGGATGTGTATACTAGGAATGAGCAAATATGGGAACAAATGGCATTTCTTTCAATGCAGTCGAAAGAATGCATCAAAAATTCAACAGTACATGAAATGGCCTTCAAAATATGTGCTATTTAATTTTGAACTAATGAAATCACGATAACATGATTCTGCGAGTTCTGAATGCACCTTTTCGAGTGAATTTGCAACAATTTCATCCCACAAAATGGATTCAAAATACATGTGTTATTCAATTTTGAATTCACAAACCACAAAATGGGTGGATTCAAACCCCATCCATTTCATGGCCTGTTTGCAATCGTGTGACCACAATTTTGTCAGTTTGCAGTGCACTCGTCTTAACACCAAGTTTCAAGGAGTTTCATATATACTCTAGCATGCCTAAAACATTGCTGAGACCTATAAATACTTCGTATATATTTCTAGACAATAGTAAATGACCAAGACAGGTGAAAATCTCCACTTGTCAGTGTGTTTGTGTCTATTTGAGTACTATTCTGAGTACTATTTTGAGTACTATTCTGAGTACTATTTTGAGTACTACAGTGGACCCCCGGTTAACGAACTTTTTTCATTCCAGTAGTATGTTCAGGTGCCAGTACTGACCAAATTTTTTCCCATAAGGAATATTGTGAAGTAGATTAGTCCGTTTCAGACCCCCAAACATACACGTACAAACGCACTTACATAAATACACTTACATAATTGGTCGCATTTGGAGGTGATCGTTAAGCGGGGGTCCACTGTATTTCATTACCTAATAGTATTAGTGTCAGAACAAAGATTGACTATGAAATCACAAGAACTACTGTAAATTGTAATTATCAAAACATAGAAATTATATAAAATAAAAACGAGGAAAAAAGGTATATCGGCAACACTCCAGCAAGGGGCAGGACTCGATGTTGCCATCAGGTGAGCATCCAGAGCCAACTTCGCGGTCTTATATCTCGGTAAGTACTGATCCTAAAAATTTTTTTTTTGGTCTTATTACATACAGAAAATTGTCCTCTTTAATTAAAAAAAATCTTTTGTTTTTTGTCAAAATACTAGGAGCACTGGCAGTGAAAACATACATCTACATTTGGACAGTTTAAGGGTTAACTAATGCTCGTTTTTCTCCCCCAAACTCTTTAAATTGAGTGCAAAAATCAAACATAATTTGAATAGTGCGAATCTGAATCTTGCGACTACTTGGGATGATTCGTTATTTGCACTAATCAAGGCCCAAACTAATTTATCAAGCCTCGAACAAATAATTACTACAAAAAATTAAAAAATATCTGACCTTCTGTTGGATAAAAAGAAGAGAATAGAGGTACCCAGCTCTTCCATAGAGGAGTTCGTCTGGCAGCTCTGACTTGATGTTCAATACATCGGTTTTTAATTTTTTGATTCTGAAAGAAAAAACAACTATGTATTATTATTACAGGCTTTTTTTATTATTTGTAGTAGTAGTGGTAGTAGTAGCAGTGGTGGTAGTAGTAGTAGTGGTGGTAGTGGTGGTAGTAGTAGTACTGGTGGTAGTTGTAGTAGGTGGTAGTAGTTAGCATGGTGGTAGTAGTAGTGGTGGTAGTAGTAGTAGTGGTGGTAGTGGTGTAGCAGTAGTAACTGGTGGTAGTTGTAGTAGTGGTGGTAGTAGTAGCAGTGGTGGTAGTAGTAGTAGTGGTGGTAGTGGTGGTAGCAGTAGTACTGGTGGTAGTTGTAGTAGTGGTGGTAGTAGTAGCAGTGGTGGTAGTAGTAGTAGTGGTGGTAGTGGTGGTAGTGGTAGTAGTAGCAGTGGTGGTAGTAGTAGTAGTGGTGGTAGTGGTGGTAGCAGTAGTACTGGTGGTAGTTGTAGTAGTGGTGGTAGTAGCAGTGGTGGTAGTAGTAGTAGTGGTGGTAGTGGCGGTAGTGGTGGTAGTAGTAGTAGTGGTGGTAGTGGTAGTAGTGGTGGTAGTGGTGGTAGCAGTAGTACTGGTGGTAGTTGTAGTAGTGGTGGTAGTAGTAGCAGTGGTGGTAGTAGTAGTAGTGGTGGTAGTGGTGGTAGCAGTAGTACTGGTGGTAGTTGTAGTAGTGGTGGTAGTAGTAGCAGTGGTGGTAGTAGTAGTAGTAGTGGTGGTAGTGGTGGTAGCAGTAGTACTGGTGGTAGTTGTAGTAGTGGTGGTAGTAGTAGCAGTGGTGGTAGTAGTAGTAGTGGTGGTAGTGGTGGTAGTGGTAGTAGTAGCAGTGGTGGTAGTAGTAGTAGTGGTGGTAGTGGTGGTAGCAGTAGTACTGGTGGTAGTTGTAGTAGTGGTGGTAGTAGCAGTGGTGGTAGTAGTAGTAGTGGTGGTAGTGGTGGTAGTGTGTGTAGTAGTAGTAGTGGTGGTAGTGTAGTAGTGGTGGTAGTGGTGGTAGCAGTAGTACTGGTGGTAGTTGTAGTAGTGGTGGTAGTAGTAGCAGTGGTGGTAGTAGTAGTAGTGGTGGTAGTGGTGGTAGCAGTAGTACTGGTGGTAGTTGTAGTAGTGGTGGTAGTAGTAGTCAGTGGTGGTAGTAGTAGTAGTAGTGGTGGTAGTGGTGGTAGCAGTAGTACTGGTGGTAGTTGTAGTAGTGGTGGTAGTAGTAGCAGTGGTGGTAGTAGTAGTAGTGGTGGTAGTAGTAGTACTGGTGGTAGTTGTAGTAGTGGTGGTAGTAGTAGTAGTGGTGGTAGTGGTGGTAGTAGTAGTGGTAGTAGTAGCAGTGGTGGTAGTAGTAGTAATGGTGGTAGTGGTGGTAGTAGTAGTACTGGTGGTAGTTGTAGTAGTGGTGGTAGTAGTAGCAGTGGTGGTGGTGGTGGTAGCAGTAGTACTGGTGGTAGTTGTAGTAGTGGTGGTGGTAGTAGTAGCAGTGGTGGTAGTAGTAGTAGTGGTGGTAGTGGTGGTAGCAGTAGTACTGGTGGTAGTTGTAGTAGTGGTGGTAGTAGTAGCAGTGGTGGTAGTAGTAGTAGTGGTGGTGGTAGTGGTGGTAGCAGTAGTACTGGTGGCAGTTGTAGTAGTGGTGGTAGTAGTAGCAGTGGTGGTAGTAGTAGTAGTAGGGGTGGTAGTGGTGGTAGTAGTAGTAGTGGTGGTGGTAGTGGTGGTAGTGGTGGTACTGGTGGTAGTTGTAGTAGTGGTGGTAGTAGTAGCAGTGGTGGTAGTGGTGGTAGCAGTAGTACTGGTGGTAGTTGTAGTAGTGGTGGTAGTAGTAGCAGTGGTGGTAGTAGTAGTAGCAGTGGTGGTAGTAGTAGTAGTAGTGGTGGTAGCAGTAGTACTGGTGGTAGTTGTAGTAGTGGTGGTAGTAGTAGCAGTGGTGGTAGTAGTAGTAGTGGTGGTAGCAGTAGTACTGGTGGTAGTTGTAGTAGTGGTGGTAGTAGTAGCAGTGGTGGTGGTAGTAGTAGTAGCAGTGGTGGTAGTAGTAGTAGTGGTGGTAGCAGTAGTACTGGTGGTAGTTGTAGTAGTGGTGGTAGTAGTAGCAGTGGTGGTAGTAGTAGTAGTGGTGGTAGCAGTAGTACTGGTGGTAGTTGTAGTAGTGGTGGTAGTAGTAGCAGTGGTGGTAGTAGTAGTAGTGGTAGTAGTGGTGGTAGTAGTAGTGGTAGTAGTAGTAGTGGTAGTAGTAGCAGTGGTGGTAGTAGTAGTAGTGGTGGTAGTAGTAGTACTGGTGGTAGTTGTAGTAGTGGTGGTAGTAGTAGTAGTGGTGGTGGTGGTAGTAGTGGTGGTAGCAGTAGTACTGGTGGTAGTTGTAGTAGTGGTGGTAGTAGTAGTAGTGGTGGTAGCAGTAGTACTGGTGGTAGTTGTAGTAGTGGTGGTAGTAGTAGCAGTGGTGGTGGTAGTAGTAGTAGCAGTGGTGGTAGTAGTAGTAGTGGTGGTAGCAGTAGTACTGGTGGTAGTTGTAGTAGTGGTGGTAGTAGTAGCAGTGGTGGTAGTAGTAGTAGTGGTGGTAGCAGTAGTACTGGTGGTAGTTGTAGTAGTGGTGGTAGTAGTAGCAGTGGTGGTAGTAGTAGTAGTGGTAGTAGTGGTGGTAGTAGTAGTGGTAGTAGTAGTAGTGGTAGTAGTAGCAGTGGTGGTAGTAGTAGTAGTGGTGGTAGTAGTAGTACTGGTGGTAGTTGTAGTAGTGGTGGTAGTAGTAGTAGTGGTGGTGGTGGTAATAGTAGCAGTGGTGGTAATAGTAGCAGTGGTAGTAGTGGTAGTTGTAGTAGTGGTGGTAGTAGTTGTAGTAGTTGTGGTAATAGTGGTGGTGGTGGTAGTAGTGGCAGTAGTAGCAGTGGTAGTAGTGGTGGTAGTAGTGGTAGTAGTGGTGGTAGTAGTAGTAGTACTGGTGGTAGTTGTAGTAGTGGTGGTAATAGTTGTGGTAATAGTAGTGGTGGTGGTAGTAATAGAAGTAGTGTTGGTAGTAGTACTGGTGGTGGTGGCGGCGGTGGCGGCAGTGGCGGCGGCGGTGGTGGTGGCGGCAGTGGTGGCAGCAGCGGTGGCAGCGGTAGTCGTAGTAGTGGCGGTAGTAGTAGTGGTGGTGGTAGTAGTAGTGGTGGCGGTAGTAGTAGTGGTGGCGATAGTCGTAGTGGTGGCGGTAGTAGTGGTGGCAGTAGTAGTAGTGGTGGCGGTAGTAGTAGCAGTGGTGGTAGTAGTAGTAGTAGTGGTAGGAGTAGTATCATTATTATTATTATTATTATTGTCTGCCTTCCCACACCCACACAAAACATCCCACGCATGCATTCTAGGTCAGCCTGGCTTTGCTTCTCGTCAAGTGAGATTACCCTGCACTTTCATACAAAACATTTCATAATAATCCATTGTTTTTTGTGCTTGTTTATTGAATGCAACTGCTAAATAAGCCACCATGGGACCAAAGAAAGTTCCAAGTGCCAGCCCTTAGATAAAGAAAGCGAGAAATTATGACCAGAATGTGTCCAAGAGAAGGATTTTGAAGGGTTTGAGGCTGGCCCTGATTACCCTACACCTGTTGTGGAATCTATTGTGGCTTTGAGGAAGTCCATGGGGTCGGATGTGAGTGGCCAGGATGTGGAAGAGTTGTTGGACGACCACAGGGAAGGGCTAACCACTGAAAAGCTGCAACGCCTTCAACTGGAACAGCAACAGATTGCAGTTGAGGAAATTGCTTCAAAGGAGGAGGAAGAGAGAGGGAAGACTGTGCCTTCTTCAGTGATTAAGGACATGTGTGCAAAGTGGAATGAGTTGCAAAGTTTTGTGGAGAAATATCACCCTAACAAAGCTGGTGCAAGCCGTGTCTGCAACATGTTCAATGACAATGCCTTGTCCCATTTTAGACAAATCTTAAAGAGACGCCAGAAACAGACCTCTCTGGACAGATTTTTTGTGCGACAGGTGTCCAGTGACTCTCAAGTTGGTCCTAGTGCCAGTAAAAGAGAAAGAAGGAAAGTAACCTCGGATAGGGACTTGATACCTGAAGTCCTTATGGAAGGGGATTCCCCTTCCAAACAATAACTTCTCCCCTCCTCACCGTCTTCCATACGCCATACGTCTTCAATAAAGGTAAAGGTTAAGCTAAATGCTCATTTATCCATTTCATTAGTCCCTTATATTTATTTCTCATTGTGTTCTGTATGTAAAACTTTAGTTATTCTCTATAAAATGTATTTTTTGTTAATACTTTTGGGTACTGGAAAGGATTAATTGGAGTTACATTATTTCTTATGGGAAATATTGCTTCGGCTTTCGTCGAATTTGGTTTTCGTCAGACTTTCTGGGAAGAATTAAAAACGAAAACCAAGGTTCCACTGTTATATTATTATTATTATTATTGTTATTAATACAGTCACCTCTTTTATAAAAACTCCTCAAAACAGTGGAGTTTTTTATGCTTAAAAAGGCACATCAAAAATTAAAAGACGAATGGAAACGCCCTGATAAAACACTCTATTCAATTTTGGAAGTAACTTCACAGTCGCATTTGCAACATTTACATTCAAAAAGAGAGAGAGAGAGAGAGAGAGAGAGAGAGAGACAAAGACAAACAGAGACAGACAAACAAAGATAGAACAACAGACAGAATTGCCTTAGAAAGAAATGATATATAGAAAAATATTCCACCCTTTGAGATAGTTGTTGACTTTCTCTTCTATGTTGTTCTTGTGGTATATAAGAGCCCCAAGGGAAAGAGGTCCGCTGTCACCGCACAGGAAGGAGACCCTGCGACCCTTGAGCTTGCTGAGCGCCCTGTCCGCCAGTGTCTTCGCTTTCTGCAACGAAACAGAACGACACCGGACGTCAAAAATGGAATTTGCTGATGTCGTTAATTTCAATTTTTTTTGCATGTTGCCACAGTGGTATAATAAGGTACACACTGCCCATACACTGCCCACAACACTGCATTCAAAATTACCTTCAAATGAAGGTAGAAGGGATAACAATACAGTGGACCCTCAGCTAACGATGGCATCAGCTAACGTTAAATCCAGCCAACAATACATTTTAATGCAAAAATTTTGCCTCAGCTAACGCTAAAAAACTCACTCAACGTGATTCGTTCGAGACGCGTCCATGTGTGGCCTGAGTGCTCCTCAGTTGTCCCGTGGGTGCCAGTGTTTACAAGCCAGCCAGTGCGGTCGCATCCACGCATACAATTGGAATATTTCATATTATCACAGCGTTTTTAGTGATTGCACCTGCAAAGTAAGTCACCATGGGCCCCAAGAAAGCTTCTAGTTCCAACCCTACAGGAAAAAGGGTGAGAATTACCATGGATATGAAGAAAGAGATAGTTGCTAAGTACGAAAGTGGAGTGCGTGTCTCGGAGCTGGCCAGGTTGTATACCAAACCCCAATCAACCATCGCTACTATTGTGGCCAAGAAAATGACAATCAAGGAAGCTGTTCTTGCAAAAGGTGCAACTTTGTTTTCGAATAAGAGATCACAAGTACTCGAAGATGTTGAGAGACTCTTATTGGTGTGGATAAATGAAAAACAGATAGCAGGAGATAGCATCTCTCAAGCAATCATATGTGAAAAGGCTAGGAAGTTGCATGACGATTTAATTAGAAAAATGCCTGCAACTAGTGGTGATGTGAGTGAATTTAAGGCCAGCAAAGGTTGGTTTGAGAGATTTAAGAATCGTAGTGGCATTCATAGCGTGATAAGGCATGGTGAGGCTGCCAGTTCGGACCACAAAGCGGCTGAAAAATGTGTGAAGGAATTCAAGGAGTACATAGACAGTGAAGAAGTGAAACCTGAACAAGTGTTTAATTGTGATGAAACAGGCCTGTTTTGGAAGAAAATGCCAAACAGGACCTACATTACTCAGGAGGAAAAGGCACTCCCAGGACATAAGCCTATGAAAGACAGGCTTACTCTCTTGATGTGTGCTAATGCTAGTGGTGATTGCAAAGTGAAGCCTTTATTGGTGTATCACTCTGAAACTCCCAGAGCATTCAGGCAAAAGAATATCCTCAAGGCTAATTTGTGTGTGATGTGGAGGGCAAACAGTAAGGCATGGGTGACTAGGGACTTTTTCTATGACTGGTTACACCATGCATTTGCCCCCACTGTGAAAAATTACCTCCTGGAAAATAAATTGGACCTTAAGTGCCTCCTGGTATTAGACAATGCTCCTGGTCATCCTTCAGACTTGGCAGAGCGACTTTCTGGGGACATGAGCGTCATTAAGGTCAAGTTTTTGCCTACCAATACCACTCCTCTCCTGCAGCCCACGGACCAGCAGGTCATTTCAAACTTCAAAAAACTTTACACAAAAGCTATGTTTCAAAAGTGCTTTGTAGTGACCACAGAAACTCAACTGACTCTAAGAGAGTTTTGGAGATATCACTTTAGCATCCTCAATGATGTAAACATTATAGGTAAGGCTTGGGAGGGAGTGACTAAGAGGACCTTGAACTCTGCTTGGAAAAAACTGTGGCCAGAATGTGTAGACAATAGGAATTTTGAAGGATTTGAGGCTAACCCTGAGAGGAGTATGCCAGTTGTGGAATCAACTGTGGCATTGGGAAAGTCCTTGGGGTTGGAGGTTAGTGGGGAGGATGTGGAAGAGTTGGTGGAGGAGGACAATGAAGAACTAACCACTGATGAGCTGCTAGATCATCTTCAACAGCAAGAAGCCAGACCTGAGGAAACTGCTTCGGAGGAGGGGAGAGAGAAATTGAAGAAGTTGCCTACCTCAAAGATTAAGGAAATGTGTGCAAAGTGGCACAGCTATTGCAAGCCGTGCTGGTGACTATTACACTGACGACGTTGTGACCCACTTTAGGAAAGTCATAAAGGAACGAGAGGTACAGGCCTCTATGGACAGATATGTTGTGCGACAGAGGTCCAGTGACTCTGAAGCTGGTCCTAGTGGCATTAAAAGAAGGGAAGTAACCCCAGAAAAGGACTTGATACCTCAAGTCCTAATGGAAGGGGATTCCCATTCTAAACATTAACAACTTCCACACTCTCCCCTCCTTCTATCCCATCAATTATCACCAGATCTTCAATAAAGGTAAGTGTCAGTTTGTGTGTATTAAAATTAATATTTCATGTGGTAAAAAATTTTTTTTTTTCCTACTCTGGGGTGTCTTGCACAGATTAATTTGATTTCCATTATTTCTTATGGGGAAAATTAATTCAGCTAACGATAATTTCATTTAACGATGAGCTTTCAGGAACAGATTAATATCGCTAGCTGAGGGTCCACTGTATGTATAAAAGAACAATACTCACGTGTCTCACTCACACAATCATTCACAATCACCTCCACTGTGTGTCCCATTCACACAATCATCCACAATAACCTCCACTGTGTGCCCCATTCACAAAATCATTTGCAATAAATACACCTACCATCCGACTTACGACCGAGTTCGGTTCCGAGAAACCGGTGTTACACCCTTTTGTTCATTTTGTTCATTTTCTTCTTATTATCACAATGGTATACTATTACATGTCATTTTTGCTATTTCACTTAATATTATATTCAGGAGTAATTCCATTAGTAGCTAAAATGGATTTACTCGACTTTATAATGTTATCTGGTTGTATTACTTAGCTTTGTATTTAGGTAGGTCATTTAATTAGTGTCAACTGCTGGTGACCTGGCCAAGCACCAGTAGGTGTTTTGAGCTGCTCGACCCCTGCTCCGACCGAGACAAAGTGGGCTGGTAAAGCCTCACAGAGTTCAGTTCTTACCTTCCTCACCTCTCGTGAGGGAAGCTCCCTGATTCCTGGATTTAAACTTCTGGTCCCACATGAGGTTCCCTAGTGACCCTCCAGTACCTCGGACGGTATCTGACAGAAACGTCTCGGACGAAGTGTGTGTTGCTGTTTTGGAGACGCTGGTGATTGTCCCTAGCTCTGCTAGGAGAGGGTTTAAGCAGTACTGGAGATGCTGGTGATTGTCCCTAGCTCTGCTAGGAGTGAATTTAAGCAGTATTGGTTCAAAGAGGACTGTGAAAAAGTCATGGGAGACAGACTCGCCTCAAAATTCCTTTAAGTGTAAAATATTCCTAATCTCACTTAGTATATTATGAAAGTTGAATAAGAGTGAATTATTATTGAAGTGTTACGTCTTCTGTCTCATTTGGATTGAGTTAAGTAAAGTGTTATTATGTGAAGAGAAGGTGTTATGATACTAGAGCCGTTCAGTACTATAATCAAGATAATACTGTGTATTATCTTTTAAGTGAACTTAAGTGTAAATTTCATGAGTACTCTGTTTTATGGTGCGACCTTTTTAAAGTTAATATAAAAACCTTCTATGGTTTATTAAGAAACTTAATAAAAAACCGGAAAGAACCATTGTGATTGTTTACTACTGAACCCTTGAATGATTTCGTCTAGAACAGGATATTCAATCCTGTTTATTTGTTGCAAGAAAGGGCTAAACAGGCTTAAATAGTGGCCCTGTACGCAACACCGGTCATAAGTCTAAATGGCCGTAAGTCGAACTTTACTACTGAATATCAACAAAACATTTTTGTAGTGACTTTATTTTATTGTTTTATTTTGGTATTTCACGTTTTACTTTACTTTTTATGTTGTTAGTACTGTATTTTATACTGTAAGGTTTAGGATAAACACTGTGTACAACACAAATACTTGTTTATTTCCCAGAAATTTGGCATAAAAAACACGGTCGTAAGTCGAGTGGTCGTAAGTCGAGTGGTCGTAAGTCAAGTGGTCGTAAGTCGAGTGGTCGTAAGTCGAGTGGTCGTAAGTCGAGCAGGTCGTAAGTCAGATAGTAGGTGTACATTCCATGTCTTGTTTAACCCTTAAGCTGTCCAAACATGGATCTACGTTCACACACATTGCGCCCCGAACATAGATCTACGTCCAATTTTATATTGTTTCTTATGTAAAAAAAAATGTAGACCTACGTTTGGAGCATTACGCGGGCAAACATAGATTTATGTTTGGACAGTTTAAGGGTTAAATTTATTAAATTTATTTAAATAATTATTATAATTATTATTATTATTATTATTATTATTATTATTATTATTATTATTATTATTATTATTTACACGATTGTGCAGCTTACCTCCTGGTACGCATCATCTTCCATAACCTCCGCGAGGCGGAGGTACAATAGCACTTGCCCGCTGAGTCCCGTATAAACCGAGTAGTCGCCGGTCTCATCTCCCTTTGACACGCCGACGTCCAGAATGTGCAACAATGTCTTGACAGATGCTCTCACCTTGCTTGTGTACTCCTCAGACAGCTGCGGAAAAAACACATGCGAAAAACTCGAGGCCTGGTCACAGACCAGGCTGGGAGGGGCTTTGACCCCCAAAACCCTCTCCAGATATACTTCACGTATTTTCCTGCATATATGGCTCACTTTTTTTACCCCCCAAAAAAATGTCTTGTGCACACACACACAAACACACACATGCACACACACACAAACACACACACACACACACACAAACACAAACACACACACACACACACACACACACACACACACACACACACACACACACACACACACACACACACTTACACTTACACTTATATACACATGTATATACATGTATCTATATATATGTATATGCAAAACAGCCACTGTGAAAGAATAGAGAAATTCCAAGCGCTTTCGTGACTACTCACATTATCAAGGAACAATGAAAGTAGAGCATCAAAGGAAGGTATATAAGGGGGTCTAGCCCTTTATATACCTTCCTCTGATGCTCTACTTTCATTGTTTCTTGATAATGTGAGTAGTCACGAAAGCTTGTACACGTATGCATAGTGTGACCTAAGTGTAAGTAGAAGTAGCAAGATGTACCTGAAATCTTGCATATTTATGAGACAGACAAAAGACACCAGCATGTAAAACAATTACAGGCTTTCACTTCACACTCGCTTAGCAGGACGGTAGTACCCCCCTGGGTGGTTGCTGTCTACCAACTTACTACCTGTAATATATATATAGTACAGTGGACCCCCGCTTAACGATCACCTCCAAATGCGACCAATTATGTAAGTGTATTTATGTAAGTGCGTTTGTACGTGTATGTTTGGGGGTCTGAAATGGACTAATCTACTTCACAATATTCCTTATGGGAAAAAATTCGGTCAGTACTGGCACCTGAACATACTACTGGAATGAAAAAAGTTCGTTAACCGGGGGTCCACTGTATATATATATATTGGCAGTTTGGAGGGATATGTTGTGTATCTTTATACGTATATGCTTCTAAACTGTTGTATTCTGAGCACCTCTGCAAAAGCAGTGATAATGTGTGAGTGTGGTGAAAGTGTTGAATGATGATGAAAGTATTTTCTTTTTGGGGATTTTCTTTCTTTTTTGGGTCACCCTGCCTCGGTGGGAGACAGCCGACTTGTTGAAAAAAAAAATATGTATATATATATATATATATATATATATATATATATATATATATATATATATATATATATATATATATATTATTTATTATATTTTTATTATCACAACCGGCCGATTCCCACCAAGGCAGGGTGGCCCGAAAAAGAAAACTTTCACCATCATTCACTCCATCACTGTCTTGCCAGAAGGGTGCTTTACACTACAGTTTTTAAACTGCAACATTAACACCCCTCCTTCAGAGTGCAGGCACTGTACTTCCCATCTCCAGGACTCAAGTCCGGCCTGCCGGTTTCCCTGAATCCCTTCATAAATGTTACTTTGCTCACACTCCAACAGCACGTCAAGTATTAAAAACCATTTGTCTCCATTCACTCCTATCAAACACGCTCACGCATGCCTGCTGGAAGTCCAAGCCCCTCGCACACAAAACCTCCTTTACCCCCTCCCTCCAACCTTTCCTAGGCCGACCCCTACCCCGCCTTCCTTCCACTACAGACTGATACACTCTTGAAGTCATTCTGTTTCGCTCCATATATATATATATATATGCAATAAGATCACAGTAAACAGGTGATTTCAGAATATGCAAAACAACCACTCTGAAAGAATAGAGAAATTCCAAGCGCTTTCATGATAATGTGAGTAGTCACAAAAGCGCTTGGAATTTCTCTATTCTTTCAGAGTGGTTGTTTTGCATATATTCCCTGGAACGCAGGAGGGAGAGATACATGATTATATACACCTGGAAAATCCTAGAGGGACTAGTACCGAACTTGCACACGAAAATCACTCACTACGAAAGCAAAAGACTTGGCAGACGATGCACCATCCCCCCAATGAAAAGCAGGGGTGTCACTAGCACGTTAAGAGACCATACAATAAGTGTCAGGGGCCCGAGACTGTTCAACTGCCTCCCAGCACACATAAGGGGGATTACCAACAGACCCCTGGCAGTCTTCAAGCTGGCACTGGACAAGCACCTAAAGTCAGTTCCTGATCAGCGGGGCTGTGGCTCGTACGTTGGTTTGCGTGCAGCCAGCAGCAACAGCCTGATTGATCAGGGGCTGATCCACCAGGAGGCCTGGTCACAGACCGGGCCGCGGGGGCGTTGACCCCCGAAACTCTCTCCAGGTAAACTCCAGGTATATATATATATATATATATATATATATATATATATATATATATATATATATATATATATATATATATATATATATATATATATATATATATATATATATATATATATATGTATATATATAAATGTATGTATATTATAGGTAGTAGGTTGGTAGACAGCAACCGCCCAGGGAGGTACTACCGTCCTGCCAAGTGAGTGTAAAACGTAATCCTGTAATTGTTTTACATGATGGTAGGATTGTTGGTATCTTTTTTCTGTCTCTTAAACGTGCAAGATTTCAGGTACGTCTTGCCACTTCTACTTACACTTAGGTCACACTACACATACATGTACAAGCATATATACACACACCCCTGTGTGCTTTCTTCTATTTTCTTGCTAGTTCTTGTTCTTGTTTATTTCCTCTTATCTCCATGGGGAAGTGGAACAGAATTCTTCCTCCGTAAGCCATGCGTGTTGTAAGAGGCAACTAAAATGCCGGGAGCAAGGGGCTAGTAACCCCTTCTCCTGTATAAATTACTAAATTTAAAAAGAGAAACTTTTGTTTTTCTTTTTAGGCCACCCTGCCTCGGTGGGATACGGCCGGTTTGTTGAAAGAAAGGAGATATATGTATATATATATATATTATATATATATATATATATATATATATATATATATATATATAATATATATATATATATATATATATATATTGTACCTTTTGTCCAGTGTAACAAAGAAGAAATTAAGTACCTTTTGTCCAGTGTAATAAAGACCAAATTAGTGCACCTTATGTCCAGTGTAATAATAAAATTAATGTATCTTTTGTCCAGTGTAACAGAAAAAATAAAGTACCTTTTGTCCGGTGGAATCCAAGATATGGTCATCCTTTTCGACGTCCTTTGGATAGGGATTCTCAAAGTGTCGATCCTCGCTCATGGCTGTGCTCTCTCTCTCACGACAAGTGCTGAAACTATTGCAAAATTAATTCTGTATGCTGTCCGGACGATAAACCAGCGGTCGGATGATGCCAAAATATTGTCCACTACCAGTGCTGATGCTCGGTTTTAAGCCAATGTTGATACTTAGGCTCAATTTTAAATTAATGCTGTTACTGATACTAATTTTAAACCAATGGTGATACCGATATTTAAACCAATGGTGATACCGATACTTACTTTTAAACTAATGGTGATAGCAATATTTTTGCAGTGGGTGTTAGTGGACTGGTGTGGGTGGCATCCTGGGGGACAAGATATAAGGACCACAATGGAAATAAGACAGATAGTCCTCGATGACGAACTGACTTTCTTGGGTTATCCTGGCTGGATAACTCTCCCTACCCCAGGTTATCCTGGCTGGATAACTCTCCCTACCCCAGGTAATCCTGGCTGGATAACTCTCCCTACCCCAGGTTATCCTGGCTAGATAACTCTTCCTACCCCAGGTAATCCTGGCTGGATAACTCTCCCTACCCCAGGTTATCCTAGCTGGATAACTCTCCCTACCCCAAGTTATCCTGGTTGGATAACCCTCCCTACCTGAGGTTATCCTGGCTGGATAACCCTCCATACCCCAGGTAAAAATCTCAATAAATCTTATCTTACAGATCTAAAAATAACTAAGACTGTTACAAAGGCATGTACAAACAGTACAGTTTACCGAAAACTCGGTACAGCTAGAGTAGTTTACCGAGCCACAGATATACATAAGTACAATTACCATACATAGTGACATATACAGAACAACCACTGTGAAAAAACAGTGAAATTCTACGAACTTTTGTGATTTCTCACATTATCGAGGAACTGTAAAAATAAGTAAGGAAGCATGTAAGGATGAGATTACACATGTGTGTGTAAATTACCCACCTGGATAACTCAAAAAATGGTCAGACAGTGGTTTTTGTGGCATCTTTCTTCCCATAAAAGTTAAACCAGTTTTACAAATACAGTGGATCCCCGGTTTACGATATTATTTCATTCCAGAAGTATGTTCAGGTGCCAGTACTGAACGAATTTGTTCCCATAAGGAATATTGTGAATTAGATTAGTCCATTTCAGACTCCCAAACATACACGTACAAACGCACTTACATAAATACACTTACATAATTGGTCGCATTGGGAGGTGATCGTAAAGCGGGGGTCCACTGTACTGTAAATCCTCGATTTACAAACACACTGTTGACCTTCTGAATTGTGTATAATAATAATATTGTACACAATGATATAATAATGATATACACAGTACGGAAGATTCTTAACGTATTTGTAAATTAAGGACTTACAGTACGTACCACAACACAGGTCCTGATCCACCATGAGGCCTAGTTGTGGACCGGGCCACGGGGGCGTTGACCCCCAAACACCCACCATGTATACTCCAGACATGTAAACCACAGAATTAGCATTACTTGTGCAAACTCTTAAATTTTGTACATTTAACCCGTAAACAGTCCAGGCAGATCTACGTTCACATGTGTAGTGCTCCAAAAGTAGATCTACGTTTTTTTTTTTTTTACATATTTTCAAATATAACAAAAAAAAGAGTACCTGGAGTTTACCTGGAGAGAGTTCCGGGGGTCAACGCCCCCGCGGCCCGGTCTGTGACCAGGCCTCCTTAGGTCAGTGTCCCAGGATGCGACCCACACCAGTCGACTAACACCCAGGTACCCATTTTACTGATGGGGAACATAGACAACAGGTGGAAAGAAACACGTCCAATGTTTCTACTCTGGCTGGGAATCGAACCCAGGCCCTCACCGTGTGAAGCGAGAGCGTTAACCACCAGGCCACCAGAGCCCCAGATCAAAATTTTTTTACACATTTTCAAATGTAAAAAAAAAATAAGAAAATCTATTATTTTACATACTTTCAAATGTTGAAAAAACGTATATATACGTATGGAACGTTTACGGGTTAAAAACTTCTACGTAATAACCTATGTCTAGTTCATAAGTAGTGATTACCTGTATTAGTCTACCCGAAATAAATCTCATGTTAGCGACACTCTTTTGTTTCATATTCTGTATGTAAACTACATCATCTATACTGAAGAAATGAGTTTATTATTATTAGGTTACTTTATGCTTAGTTAAAGTTAGGGTTAGGTTAGGTTTAGGTTAGGCTGAGGTTTGGTTTAGGTTTAGGTTAGGTTAGGTTTAGGTTATGTTTAGGTTAGGTTTAGGTTAGGTTGAGGTTTAGGTTAGGTTAGGTTTAGGTTAGGTTTAGGTTAGGTTGAGGTTTAGGTTAGGTTAGGTTTAGGTTAGGTTTAGGTTAGGTTGAGGTTTGGTTTAGGTTTAGGTTAGGTTAGGTTTAGGTTATGTTTAGGTTAGGTTTAGGTTAGATTTATGTTAGGTTTATGTTAGGTTTAGGTTAGGTTTAGGTTAGGTTGAGGTTTGGTTTAGGTTTAGGTTAGGTTAGGTTTAGGTTAGGTTAGGTTAGGTTTAGGTTTAGGTTAGGTTAGGTTTAGGTTAGGTTTAGGTTAGGTTTAGGTTAGGTTGAGGTTTGGTTTAGGTTTAGGTTAGGTTAGGTTAGGTTTAGGTTAGGTTAGGTTAGGTTTAGGTTTAGGTTAGGTTAGGTTTAGGTTAGGTTAGGTTAGGTTAGGTTTAGGTTTAGGTTAGGTTAGGTTAGGTTAAGTTAGGTTAAGTTTGGTTAGGTTAGGTTAAGTTTAGGTCAGGTTAAATTATGTTTAGGTAAGGCTTGGTTAGGTTAGATTAGGTTAAGTTAGGTTAGGTTAAATTAGGTTACTTTACATTAGTCAAGGTTAGACTATGCTCATTTTAAGTTAGGTCAGGTCACTTTACACTTCATTAAGGCTAAGTTGGATTATGACTCACGAAATCGTAATGACACGATTGCAAACAAACCAGTTTTGAGATTCTGACCGCGGGTTCAATCCCGGCCGGGGTATGGTAAGTTGGATTATAATTAGTTAAGGCTAAGTGAGGTTACAGCAAACACCAATTTAAATCACATTAAGTAACAATTAACCGAGCTTAACCTATGTTAAGTTACACAACTTAACCGAGCACTGCCACCCACATTAACCCCAGACCAGACACAACACACCCCACTATCCTTCCCTGACCAGAATAAACACAGTAAGTCACCTCATTTCTCCAAAAATAAACAATTTAAACAAGAAATTATCACTACCTGATATAAATAATTTACACGTATTTACAAGCGTAAAACACCGACCTGGAAATTTACAAGCGTAAAACACCGACCTGGAAATTTACAAGCATAAAACACCGACCTGGAAATTTACAAGCGTAAAACACCGACCTGGAAATTTACAAGCGTAAAACACCGACCTGGAAATTTACAAGCGTAAAACACCGACCTGGAAATTTACAAGCGTAAAACACCGACCTGGAAATTTACAAGCGTAAAACACTGACCTGAAAATTTACAAGCGTAAAACACCAACCTGGAAATTTACAAGTGTAAAACACCGACCTGGAAATTTACAAGCGTAAAACACCGACCTGGAAATTTACAAGCGTAAAACACTGACCTGGAAATTTACAAGCGTAAAACACCGACCTGAAAATTTACAAGCGTAAAACACCGACCTGAAAATTTACAAGCGTAAAACACCGACCTGAAAATTTACAAGTGTAAAACACCAACCTGAAAATTTACAAGTGTAAAACACCGACCTGAAAATTTACAAGCGTAAAACACCGACCTGAAAATTTACAAGCGTAAAACACCGACCTGAAAATTTACAAGCGTAAAACACCGACCTGAAAATTTACAAGCGTAAAACACCGACCTGGAAATTTTGTACAACCCAATTTCCACGCATAAAGAAAATATTATCCCAATTACTGTAAATAAACCATTTTTTTATTAATTATTTTTTGGCATGTAATAGATAATATTGAGATTATTTAATAACAGAAATTATTTAATAACAGAATTATTTAATAACAAATTATTTAATAACAAATTATGTAATAACAGAATTATTTAATAACAATTAAAAATCAGGAACGTGACGGTAAGCTGTCCAATATACAAAAAGAGTTAGAAACAGAAATACAAATAGCTAGAGCTTCATTTAAGGTTATTAATATAATATTCAAGAGGTTGCTAGTAGACTTGCAGTAAATCAACCATTCAAATCATTATGAAGCTGTGTGTAGTCTGTGGTCAGTCAAACAAACGGGCTACCACATTGATAAATTGTCATTTTTGTGGAAATTGGTGTCACGCTCCTTGTGCAGATATCCCAGAACTAGCTACAAGCAGTATTAAAACAGAGAAGTGTTTTTGGGTATGCCCAAATGAGGAAAATCTGTGGACTAAAATCACAAGGGTATTAAAAGAGGATAACATCAAAGCTGCTTTCATAAAAAACCTGGAAGCTTTCTACAACAGATGGGAACATAAAAAAGTCCGGGCTGAATGGTACTGCCCTATGATACTGGCCATGTAGTCAAAAAACTGTAAGGCTGGAGGTGATGTCCTGGTAGTCAGTAAATGTAGGGCTGATAGTGCTGTCCTGGGAGACAGTAATGGTGAAGCTGGAGGTGCTGTCCTGGGAGACAGTAATGGTGAAGCTGGAGGTGCTGTCCTGGGAGACAGTAATGGTGAAGCTGGAGGTGCTGTCCTGGGAGACAGTAATGGTGAAGCGGGAGATACTGTCCTGGGGACAGTAATGGGGAAGCTGGAGGTGCTGTCCTGGGAGACAAAAATTTGGTGAAGCTGGAGATACTGTCCTGGTAGACAGTAATGGTGAAGCTGGAGATTTTGTCCAGGTAGTCGGGAATTATACGCAGGAAGGAATACATATAAATGACCTCATAGAGGACAGGAGCCATAGTAGGGAAACAAGTGTAGTCAAAGATAAGATAAAACCATATTGCAAACCAGAAATACCGCAGGAAATAGCAAACAAGAGGACTCCAATAGCAATAGTGAGGATAAATTACCAAAAACAACTGGTGGGAGCTCCATTGTTGGTGCTAGGGAGGATAGGAATAAGACAGGGAAACATGCACCAACATGGAATACAGTCACAGAAACCCAAGGCAAACGGAAACCAAGCCTGTGCACATACTATGCACTTGGTATCTGCTGGCATGGGAAATCTGGAAAAACAGATGGGACATGCAACTATGACCACCCTAGAAAATGTCATGCCCATATAAACAACGGGAAAATGCAAACTCCCTTCCTGTAAGCTTTTTCACCCTGAAATGTGTAACCTCTTCAGTACAGGAAAGACTGTGCTATATAACTTAAATTGCCAGGCATACCATCTAAAGGGGACAAAAAGATACAAAACATCCAGGCCATGGGAAAACCTGGGTAGCCACAGCCACTCAAGAGGGAGAGGTTTTTTAGTGCCAGGAAGGAAAAAAAAATGGCAGGAAATGGCAGAAATCGTACACCAAATCCAGTCATTCCTGGAGTGGAACCACAGTCGATGGCCTCCCCTCCAAACCAACAGATACAGATACTAATGCCGGAAAAAAAATCCCCCCCCAGTACCAACAATACCACCAGTCCGATAACATTCTTCTTGCAAATATTACAGGGTCTAAAGCCAGCAATAAACAACAAAAATACCTTTCATCCGTGGACTGCTTGCAGAGGCAAAGGCAATGTTCGCGGCTTCACTGAGACCCACATAAAGGATCACTTGGACAACGAAATATGGATCCCAGGTTACAACCTATACAGATGTGACAGAGTGAACAGGCAAAAGGGGGGGGTTGGCCTGTACATTGCAGAGTCACTTGTTTGCACAGAACTGCTTAATGCCTCAAATGACGTAGTGGAAGTTTTAGCAGTAAAGGTCGAGAACCAAAACCTAGTCATTGTGGTAGTCTACAAGCCTCCGGATGCAACATCCCAGCAATTCCAGGAACAGCTGTTAAAAATTGACACTGTCTGGAAAATCTTCCAGTCCTGCACCCAACATCTTGCTCCTGGGGGATTTCAACTTAAGGCACCTAAAATGGAGGAATATAGCAAATAATATTGTTGCAGTAATAACACCAGGAGGCAGCTCTGATGAAAACTCACACTCACACGAGCTTTTAAATCTCTGCACAAAATTCAATTTAAACCAGCAAATAATAGAGCCTACTAGACTGGAGAATACACTAGACCTCATCTTCACTAACAATGATGATCTGATAAGAAATGTCACCATATCAAAAACAATATACTCAGATCACAACATAATTGAGGTTCAGACATGTATGCGTGGAGCCTCAGACCGACAAAATGAGACTAGTCACGAGGGAGCATTCACCAAATTCAACTTCAATAACAAAAACATAAAGTGGGACCAAGTAAACCAAGTCCTAACCGATATAAGCTGGGAAGATATACTAAGCAACACAGACCCAAACTTATGCCTAGAACAGATTAACTCGGTGGCACTCGATGTATGCACAAGGCTTATTCCTCTAAGAAAAAGGAGGAGTAGATGTAAAATAGAAAGAGACAGCGCTCCCTTTACAGGCGACGGAAAGAATAACAGAGCGGCTAAAAGAGGTCAATATATCAAAATGCGCAGGGAGACATGGTCAGAGAAATAGCAAGCATCGAACTTAAGCTAAAAGAATCCTTTAGGAGTCAGGAATCGCGGGAAGAACTAAAAGCCATAAATGAAATCGAAAGAAACCCAAAGTATTTCTTCTCCTATGCCAAATCAAAATCGAGAACAACGTCCAGTATTGGGCCCCTACTTAAACAAGATGGGTCCTACACAGATGACAGCAAGGAAATGAGTAGCTACTCAAGTCCCAATATGACTCAGTTTTTAGCAAGCCGCTAACCAGACTGAGAGTCGAAGATCAAAATGAATTTTTTATGAGAGAGCCACAAAATTTGATTAACACAAGCCTATCCGATGTTATCCTGACGCCAAATGACTTCGAACAGGCGATAAATGACATGCCCATGCACTCTGCCCCAGGGCCAGAACTCATGGAACTCTGTGTTCATCAAGAACTGCAAGAAGCCCTATCACGAGCCTTTTCCATCCTATGGAGAGGGAGCATGGACACGGGGGTCGTCCCTCAGTTACTAAAAACAACAGACATAGCCCCACTCCACAAAGGGGGCAGTAAAGCAACAGCAAAGAACTACAGACCAATAGCACTAACATCCCATATCATAAAAATCTTTGAAAGGGTCCTAAGAAGCAAGATCACCACCCATCTAGAAAACCCATCAGTTACACAACCCAGGGCAACATGGGTTTTAGAACAGGTCGCTCCTGTCTGTCTCAACTACTGGATCACTACGACAAGGTCCTAAATGCACTAGAAGACAAAAAGGGAATGCAGAAAGTAATATATACAGACTTTGCAAAAGCCTTCGACAAGTGTGACCATGGCGTAATAGCGCACAAAATGCGCGCTAAAGGAATAACAGGAAAAGTTGGTCGATGGATCTATAATTTCCTCACTAACAAAACACAGAGAGTAGTCGTCAACAGAGTAAGTCCGAGGCAGCTAGGGGTGAAAAGCTCTGTCCAAAAGGCACAGTACTAGCTCCCATCTTTTTCCTCATCCTCATATCCGAATAGACAAGGATGCCCAGCCACAGCACCGTGTTTTCCTTTGAAAGATGACACCCGAATCTGCATGACAGTGTCTTCCATTGCAGACACTGCAAGGCTCCAGGCGGACATCAACCAAATCTTTCAGTGGGCTGCAGAAAACAATATGAAGTTCAACGATGAGAAATTTCAATTACTCAGATATGGTAAACATGGGGAAAATTTAAATCTTCATCAGAGTACAAAACAAATTCTGGCCACAAAATAGAGCGAAAACACCAACGTCAAAGACCTGGGAGTGATTATGTCGGAGGATCTCACCTTCAAGGACCATAACATTGTATCAATCGCATCTGCTAGAAAAATGACAGGATGGATAATGAGAACCTTCAAAACTAGGGAGGCCAAGCCCATGATGACACTCTTCAGGCCCACTTGTTCTATCTAGGCTGGAATATTGCTGCACTCAAAACAGCCCTTTCAAGCAGGTGAAATTGCCGACCTAGAAAATGTACAGAGAACTTTCACGGGGGGCGCATAACGGAGATAAAACACCTCAATTACTGGAGCGCTTGAGGTTTCTAAACCTGTATTCCCTGGAACGCAGGAGGGAGAGATACATAAATTATATACCCCTTTGGAAAAACCCTAGAGGGACTAGTACCGAACTTGCACACGAAAATCACTCAAAATACGAAAGCAAAAGACTTGGCAGACGATGCACCAATCCCCCCCAAAGAAAAGCAGGGGGGTCCCCTAGCACGTTAAGAGACCATACAATAAGTGTCAGGGGACCCAGATGTTAACTGCCTCCAGCACACATAAGGGGGATTACCAACAGCCCCTGGCAGTCTTCAAGCTGGCACTGGACAAGGACCTAAAGGCAGTTCCTGATCAGCCGGGCTGTGGCTCGTACGTTGGTTTGCGTGCAGCCAGCAGCAACAGCCTGGTTGATCAGGCGCTGATCCACCAGGAGGCCTGGTCACAGACCGGGCCGCGGGGGCGTTGACCCCCGAAACTCTCTCCAGGTAAACTCCAGGTAATAACAGAATTATTTAATAACAAATTATTTAATAAGAAATTATTTAATAACAGAATTATTTAATAACAAATTATTTAATAACAGAATTATTTAATAACAAATTATTTAATAAAATATTATGTAATAACAGAATTATTTAATAAAAAATTATTTTAAAAAATATTTAATAAACAGAATTATTTAATAACAAATTATTTAATAACAAATTATTTAATAACAAATTATGTAATAACAGAATTATTTAATAACAATTATTTAATAACAGAATTAAATTTTAAAAACAAAATTATTTAATAACAGAAAATTTTTAATAACAGAATTATTTAATAACAGAATTATTTAATAACAGAATTATTTAATAACAGAATTATTTAATAACAGAATTATTTAATAACAGAATTATTTAATAACAGAATTATTTTAAAAACAAATTAAATTTTAAAAACAAATTATTTAATAACAAATTATTTAATAACAGAATTAAATTTAATAACAAAATTTTAAACAAATTATTTAATAACAGAATTATTTAATAACAGAATTATTTAATAACAAATTATTTAATAACAAATTATTTAATAACAGAATTATTTAATAACAAATTATTTAATAACAAATTATTTAATAACAGAATTATTTAATAACAAATTATTTAATAACAAATTATTTTAAAAACAGAATTATTTAAAAAACAGAATTATTTTAATAACAGAATTTATTTAAAAACAGAATTATTTAATAACAAATTATTTAATAACAAATTAAATTTTAAAAACAAATTATTTAATAACAGAATTATTTAAATAACAAATTATTTTAAAAACAAATTATTTAATAACAGAATTATTTAAAAACAGAATTATTTAATAACAGAATTTTTTTAATAACAGAATTTTTTAATAACAAATTAAATTTTAAAAAATTATTTAATAACAGAATTATTTAATAACAAATTATTTAATAACAGAATTATTTAATAACAAATTATTTAATAACAGAATTATTTAATAACAAATTATTTAATAACAAATTATTTAATAACAGAATTATTTAATAACAGAATTATTTAATAACAGAATTATTTAATAACAGAATTATTTAATAACAGAAATTATTCAATAACAAATTATTTAATAACAAAAATTATTTAATAAGGGATTATTAATAACATAAAAGATTAATAACAATATAAGAGATTATTAATAACATAAGAAATTATTAACATAATAATTATTAAATAAATTATTAATGGAAAGATAGATAATTAACCTAATAATTCGCCCACTGGATTAATTATTCCTGATTATATTAACGAGTTAACAACCTTGACGTAGTCGAGTTAATTACCTCGTTAATTTGAAGCAGTAAACCCGTAAGGGGGCCCCACCACCAGCGGAACTTGAGGTTTTGATCCAAGGAAGAGGAAAGGAGGGACCCGCGCCAAATTAATTCCCCCCCCCAGGATGATCGTTGGCCTAAAAGCTCAATTAAATTATCTTTGGGCCTACAAGTGCCAAATTTGGGCAAAAAATTGTAGGCCAAAAAATACAAAATACCTTGATAGGCCTAAAAAAATTTAAAATACCATAAGGCCAACAAAAACTTAAAATACCAACAGGCCAAAAAAATACTAAAATACCTATGATGGCCAAAAACTTAAAATACCTATGATGGCCTACAAATACTTAAAATACCTATGATAACCAAAAAAATACTTAAAAACATATAGGCCTACAAAATTTAAAAATCCCCTATGATAGGTTTAAAAAAATACTTAAAAATCCCTATGATGGCCTACGAAAAATTAAAAATCCCTATATAGGCCTACAAAAACTTAAAAACCTATGTAGGCCTAAAATACTTAAAATACCTATGAAGGCCACAAATATTAAATTACCGCTAGGACGACGCGGCCTAGCAGGGCCCTACAGACCTCAAAAACCCACTCAAAAAAAAAAATCCGTCTCATAAGGGCCCCGATTTAAAACGACCCGTCGAGCGCTAAACCCTGGGGGCCCCCCCCTCTTCCCCCCTCCCCCCCAAAAAAAAAACCCATTTTTTTTTTCCCCCCCACCCCCACATAGGCCCTACGTGATCCCCGGGGAGTCCTGAAGGGGGCGTGTCAAAAAAGGGGGCCCAACTTAACGGCAAATTTCTTTAAAAAAAAAAATAAGGGAGGAAGTTTTTTGTTTGTTTTTAAAGGGTTTTAAAAGGGCGACGCGGGGACGCCGCCGTCACACCCACACTAAACCCCCCTTCTAACTCAAATTTCAAGTTTCTAATGCACATCCTTAGATTTAGAAGTTCCAGGGGTAAAAAATAATTACCGGGGAAAAAAATCATATGTCCAGGACTTTTATAATGGAAGAAAAGTTTGAAAAATGTATATTTAAGTTGGAATTTTTTTTGTTCCAAGTGCGATGAATGACCAACACTTCTAAACCCTTAAATTCAATTTCTATGTACATTGTGCCTATCCCTAAGCCCCAACACCCATACATTTAGGTCGACTCCAAATAGTTGTCTTTGTAAAATTTTTGAAAGAATGATGCTTAACAACGACTCAGAATCAACACCAACTTTCCCCCTACCCTATGGGTTCATGAAAGGTAAGTAAGATAAGATAAGATTTCGTTCGTTTTTAAAACCCCGGAGGGTTACCACCCAGGATAACCCAAAAAAAGTCAGTGCGCATCGAGGACTGTCTAACTTATTTCCATTGTGGCCAATCTTGTCCCCAGGATGCCCCCACACCATCCACAAAAACCCCGGTACCTATTGCGCTAGTGAACAGGACAACAGGTGAAGGAAACGTGTCGAAATGTTTCCCCCCCCGCCGGGAACAACCGGGCCCTCCGTGGGGAAGCGGGACTTTAGCCACCAACAGAACTGTATTTTCCCCTTTCTCACTGCCACCCCAACTAGTTTTACCATTTTTTCTTGATCTAAAATCGCATTTGATATTGCGAACAGAATTTTTTTAACTACAGAACTAGCCAAAATGAATATGTGGTAGCTTACTCTGCGGGGATAATAGGATACCGTAAAAATAGAGTATCTCTGCCCCTTTCCCAAAGGGTTCAAAGTGATTCAAAGAAATGTCTTTAGGAAAAAAACCGCAGGGAGGATTTTAGTCCCATGCTATTTAATATTCTGATTAATGCCTCCAAAATCCTCCTGCCCCCCTAAACATATAGCTAAAAGCTATGCTGATGATATCATGATCCATACAACGGGGCTAAGAATGAATCCCATTTTAATGAATTTCAAGAAATTTGTAATCGACTGGCCCATAAATCTTCCTCTAAAACTAAAATTTTAACAAGCAAACGAACCCCCACCCATCTATTTGAGGGTGAGATCTTTAAGTACTTTAAAACTTACAGAAAAGGGTTTTAGAGTCCCCTTTAACAAATCCACTTACCACAAAAAAACAAGAAATGTAAAGCTAGGCTAAATGTTTCTAAAAAGCTGGCGGCTAAAACCCCCAACAGGTGCTAATGTTGGGGCTACAACCCAACAAGGGCAAATTTTGTGGCTCAATCCAACTATGGTGCAAGTTGCTGGTAAAACCCCCAAACTATGGTGCTAATGTTGTTTGGCTACAACCCCAACTATGGTGCAAAATTTCGGGCTACAACCCAACTATGGGCTAATTTGCTGGCTACAACCCCCAACATGGTGTAAGTTGCGGGCTACAACCCCCAACAATGGTGCTAATTTGCTGGCTAAAACCCCCAACTATGGTGCAAATGTTGCGGCTAAAACCCCAACTAGGGCTAATTTCTGGCTACAACCCCAAAACTTGGTCAAAATTTTGCTGGCAAACAACCCAACTAGGTGTAATTTTGCGGGCAAAATCCCAACTATGGGCTAATTTTGCTGGCTAAAATCCCAACTAGGGGCTAATGTTGCGGCACAACCCCAATATGGGCAAATGTTTGGGGGTACAACACCAACTATGGTGCTAATGTTGCTGGCTACAATCCCAACTTGGTGCTAATGTTGCGGCTACAACCAAACTAGGTGCAATTTTTCTGGCTACAATCCCAACTAGGTGCTAAGTTGCGGCTAAAAACCCCAACTATGGGCTAATTTTGCGGGCTACAACCCCAAAATTTGGTGCAATTTGTGGCTACAGTCCCAAAAAGGTGCAAAATTTTTCTGGCTAAAACCCCAACTAGGGCAAATGTTGCGGCTACAAACCAAACTAGGTGCTAATTTGCGGCTACAACACCAACTATGGTGAAAAATTTTGCTGCTACAACCCAACTAGGGTGAAATGTAAAAAAAGGTTTTTCCACGAATTTAAATAAAGACAATAGATCGGTCACAAAAAAAGGGGGACAGCAAGGGCAGCAAGGGACTCCCCAAAGGGTTACTATACTTAGCAGGAGTGTAAAAAATAAGATAGATAGCTAAAAATTAATTTGAAAAAGTGCGGGAAACATAATATTTTTTCTATAACAAGACCTGGCTCAAACTGAAAGATAAAGAGATCCCCAATGTCACATACAAGGCTATAAATTTTTCCCAAACGACAGGGCAACAGGAAAAAAGGGGTGGGGTAGCGATTTGTCAGAGACAATTTAAATTGTTTTTGGGTTGACAAATTTAAATTTAAACGTCACCATGAATCTGTTTGGTTACAGCTTCTCGGGGCCGAGAAAAACTAATTTTGGGTGTTATTTACAGGGCCCCCCCTCTTTATAGGGGTGCAGTAAATCTAGGGACGAAATTTTGTAAGCATCTACATACGAAAATGTTGGGGCTAATGGGAGATTTTAACTATAACAGATTTACTGGAGCAATTTGACAGGAAATTTAGTCGTGACTTCTTGAACATAGGATTGTTTTTTTTAAAAAAAGTTTGGACAAGCCAACTAGGGGAAAAAAAACCCCTTGATTTTTTTCCAGTAGGGGAAACACTAATTAAAAATCTTTGGGGTTTAAGATGAGCTGGGGAAAAAGGGTCACAAAACACTCATTTTTAAATATCTGGAAATTCCCCCAATAATGCAAACAATCTCCGCCCTGCTTTCGCTTGGCTGATTTTATGGACTGAAAAATTACTTTTGGTGGGGTGAATGGAATTACCTGACTAAGGGGGCAGGTTAGGGGGTGATGGTTGCCGAATTGATCTTTCCAGGGCATAGTTCTAGCTGCTCATCAAATTATGTTCCAAATAGGGAAATCAGATCAAAAAAAAAATGATCCTAAATTGGATGAACAAAGATTAAAAAAATTGATTTTCAAAAGAGAGGCAAATATAGCAAACAAAAGAGGAGAGGGCAATTGAGAAATCGAAAAATTTTAGTTAAAGAGAGAAATAAAAAAGGGGAATTGAAAAGCAAAAAGAGATTAGAGGGTTTAAAATTCAAAGAATCGAAGACTACCCAAAAGGGTTTTTTAGGTAACAGAAGTAAGATCAGGGGCAAATAGGCCCACCCAAAAGTTTCCCCGGGTCGCTCCGACAGTAAAGGAAAGTGTAGAATTTTTAACAATACTTCCTCCAGTTTTACACAGGAGGTACCGCGATATTCCCGTAATGAAAATTAGTAAAAACAGGACATAATAACTGTCACTATTTGGGTCACAATGCATGGCCTTTGGGAATAGATAAATTAAAACCTTAAAAAATCCCCAGGGGGCCCTGGGAACTGTATGCAGGTTCTAAGGGAAAGTAAGAGGACTTAGCACACCTTTGGGAATCTTTTTTAACTATCACAAAAAACTGGCATGGTGCCAAATAAGTGGAAAAAAAGGGAAAAGTGATACCCCATTTTCAAAAAAGGTGACGGGCCTTAGCTTCGAACTATAGACCAAAAACCCCTCCAAGTGGGAAAATTATGGAATCAATAAATTTCCGAGGCAATTCGTAGCCACCTTGAAAAGCATAAATTTAAAAACGAATTACATTGGGGTTTTTCAAAGGGGGGTTCCGCCTTACAATTTTTAACTTTTTTCACTAAGTATTTGGGAGTAATCATGGGAAGAATATGATATTGGTTTTATTCAGTAAGGGTTTTGACAGGGGCCCCCTCAAGCATTGAGGAAAAATTTAAACCATGGAATAGGAGAGAAATTTTTCCTTAAGGCATGGTTGACAAATGCAAGAGAGTTTGCATAAATGGGGGGAAATCAGAGGGGGAATGCACGAGCGTTTCCCAGGGGTCGTGTTTTGGGGCCCCCGCTGTTCACAATCTACAAAACGACATAGAGAGGGGATAAAAGCGACAAACGGCAAGTTTGCCGATGACACCAAAATAGCCGTCGAATTCATTCTCGAGGGAAAACGAGACTCCGGGGAAATTTAATGACGATGCAGGGGCGAAATGGGGAAGAGCAGTTAATAAAAAACAAATGCAAATTCAAATTTTGGGCGGAAAAAACCCTGGGCCCATAAAACTAAAAAATGTAGACTTATATTAC